ATCGTCCAGGTAGCTGGAGAGGCAATTGTATGGAAAGTAGCCGGGAGGAAGGCCTGGAAAGGCTCATTGGGCTGGCTCTGGAAGGGCCTGGAGTCCCAGGCTAGGACCTTGAATTTAACCCGAGGGCAGGAAGAAAACCATCAGACGCTTTTGAGAAAAGACACTCTTTGGGAAAGGAGGACAGTTTCAAGGTCCAAGCTGGCTTACAGGAAATGGGAATTCGGCTGCTAAGGAGAGGGAATCTGGGCAGAGGGCGCCCCCATGTGAGGGACCATGCTCCTCACCTGGGAGATCCTAGACTGAGACCAGATTGGGCCACACTGTACTCAGCAGGTCAGGTGCACTCCCAACATTTATGGGGAGATGAGACAGACGCCTACGTGACATGCCTGATACAGCCCTGAGCAGCCACAGTCATTGATGCCCACCTGGAGGGATGCTTCTAGCCCAGACTGGATCCCACGTGGGCCTCAGTCTCCTCTTCTCCCCTTTGGAGTGTTCTCAGACCCTCCCCCTCATAGGACCAACCTCCTGCTCGGTCCGGTCCATGCCCCGACTCCAGTTCCAGGAAGGAGGCCAGACAAGAAGATGGTCCCCACTGGCTGGTGTGGCATTTCCTTCATGAGACGATTTGGGATTGGGCCATAGAATGAGGCTGCCATATTGGTTTGGAGTGACTCAAGTTGTTTATGTAAACAGGGACCTGCAAATATTTTCCCTGGCTACCACGCAGCCTAGCAGTAACTGTAACCATACATCTAAATATTTTTAAATTATCACTCAAACTACATATGCTGTGTTGTGCTGTGCTTAGTCGTTCAGTCGTGTCCGACTCTTTTTGACCCCATAGATTGTAGCCCGTTAGGCTCCTCTGTCCATGGGGGTTCTCCAGGCAAGAATAGTGGAGTGGGTTGCCATGCCCTCCTCCAGGGGATCTTCCCAACCCAGAGATCAAACCCAGGTCTCCTGCATGCAGATGGATTCTTTACCATCTGAGCCACCAGGGAAGCCCAAGAATACTGGAGTGGGTGGCCTGTCCTTTCTCCAGGGGATCTTCCTGACCCAGGAATTAAACCAGGATCTTCTGCATTGCAGACGGATTCTTTAAGCTATCAGGAAAGCCCCACTCTTACTATATGTTATTAGGTAAATATGTTCTATTCTCCTTCCTTGACAAGCAGATATTTATTGCAATGAAAAGTAGGGGAACTGAGGTCATGCTCAAAGAGTTGAGCCATGGGGTGGCCCCAATCAGTCATCAGTAGAGCTCAGGCTTTGTCCCCAAGATGAGGTTACTTCTGCCTCACTAATGGTCCTGCTCCCCAAGCATCCTTTAATGGATGTTCTCCTCCATATCATTTAAGTATGAATGGACCCTTATCCCAAAGCAATTGTGGGCCTCTTACCCAACCCCTGGCAACTAGGGTCCTCTTCTTTTAGAGAAAGAAAGGGAAGAGGCAGGTTTCAAAAGGAGCAAAATCATTTGAAAACCCTGCCGATTGTCTGCTTCCAGTTCACTAGCCTCCCTCTCCCTTTCATGGTCTCTGCTTGAGAAGGAAACCACTGGGAGCCCCAGTCTCCCAGTCTCCACAACCTCCTTGCCTATCTAGCTCAAGAGTAGTGGCTGCCACTGAGAGGAGTTGGCATGAGATTTGAAAGGTGGAAGAGAGAAGGAAGCATCATTCTCAGGGAGTAGCAGCTCTTGGGAAATGGTGGATTTGCTGCGACCAACCAAGTTGGTTGGAAGAAAGTTTTAGAAATCCCCAGGCATTGTGACCATTTCCTGGAAGGCTTTTTTTTTTTTTTGAACTATAGTTGCTTTACAATGTTGTGTTAGTTTCAACTGTCCAGCAAGGTGAATCAGTTATACGCACACATGTATCCCCTCTTTTTTGGATTTCCTTTTCATTCAGGTAACCACAGAGCATCGAATAGAATTCCCTGTGCTATACAGTAAGTTCTCATTAGTTATCCATTCTATACATAGTATACATTTTATACAGAGTGGTGTATACATCTCAATCCCAGTCTCCCGATTCATCCCCAATCCCCATTTCCCCCTTGGTATCTGTATGTTTGGTCACTACATCTGTGTCTCTATTTCTGCTTTGTAAATAAGATCATGTGTACCAATTTTTTTCAGATTCCACATATATACATTAATACTTGTCTTTCTCTTTCTGACTTACTTCACTCTGTATAACAGTCTTTAGGTCCATCCATGTCTCAAGGTTCATCCTCAATTCTACAAATGCCACCAGCTTCAGTGCTTCAGGTCAGGTCAACATCCCTGGATTTGGGGAGCAGCTCCTTTGACCTCTGACTCGCGCCCCCCCCACACACAGTTCTTTCAACTGTTACATAGACTCCTGATTCTGTAGTAAACCTCCTTGCCTGGAACACATAGAGAGGCTTCTATTTTCCTGAGAAAACTCACACCAATATAAAAGTCAACGCCATAAAAGAACACTGACTTTTGACTGGACTATTGATTTTTGAAAAGTGTTGATTTTTGTTCATTAATTTCCCAGAAAGTCCATGATCCAAAAATGGGCTGAATCTGAAACTCCTGTCAAAGAAGAAGCTGAGCTTTGGGGACAGACTTACAAGAGGCCCTGACAGGTGGCCCAGCAGTGGCCCATCACTGTGCTTCTCCTGACCAGGACCATCTCCAGACCATTTTATCTTTAGAATCCTGCTTGTGAGGAGAGGAGAGGAAACACAACACAGCTCCTCTTCCGAGGAGTCAGGAGACAGGAGGGGAGGGTTGAAGGAAGAGAAAGAAGGAAGACCTGCCTGACCAGATGGCTGACCTCCACCTAGTTAGACCTTTTACACTAATCTGGCCCAGGAGACCCTTACAACAGGCTGTGCCTCCTACAAACAGCCTGGTCCCCTAAGAACTACTCATTCCACCCTTAGTAGGCATGGCAGGTCAAAAAATGCCCCTGCCTAAAACATCCATGTCAAGTCCCTGAAACCTGGGAGTGTTGCTTTATCTGGAAAAAGGGTCTTCCTGCTGTTACTAAGGATAATGAAAAGAAGAGTTACCCTGGATTATTCTTGGGTCCTGAATCCAATGAAAATTGTCCTTATTAGAGAGAGGCAAACTGCCAGCCTCACAGCACCAAGGGCCTAGAGCTGGGAGGCGCTGCAGGAGTTTAGTCATCTGGTGAGACGGCTGGAAGGCTGTGACAAGGTGACAAGGGAGAGTGGCATCAGTTGAGTAGCTGGCCCCTTCCCATCCTCGTGACAGGCTGTGCATCCAGGGGTCAGCTTCACTCAAAGGCAGGGGAGCAAGACACATGGGAACTGAGATGGTTCAGGTCATTGACATGCATGGGTCTGCTCTGAACTCACACCTCGTTAGGTTGGATTCACTAAAAACTGACTCTGAGATGGAGACGTATCTGCAGGCTGTTTCTTGAGAGGAACTTTTCCAGGAACAGCACCTCTGAGAAAGTGCAGGTTGCAGGACTGGGCAGAGGGGAAAGCTGGACTTGGACACAGTGATCACAGAAGCCCAGCTGCTCCTAGGAACTGCCCCAGAGCTTGGATGACCTTTCAAAGTTGTTCCGAATTACATTCCTCAAGGGACCAGCCACTGCAGACAGATGGCTCCTGGCCGGGGGTGGGGAGATTATCTAAGACAAAGTCACTCTCTTCCCCAAAGGGCCATGCCAAGAATGGGACCCTGCCGTGAACCATCAGCAACTTCCGACCCTTGCAGAAAAGCAATGGGTGCTCCAGCCTGAATGGGAGAGCTGAGTAGCAAAGCATAGGACCACTGCGCACATTCCTCAATACCAACATAGAAAATGACGTCTGAGGACTTAGTAAGAAGCCGCAGTAAGAATATCATGGGTGCTTTGATCACAGGTTGAATATTCTTGAGATTTAATAAGATACCAGAGCTGGAATGAGACTTAGCCTCCATCGGGTCGGAGGTGAGGAGTAGCATTTGTACTCTCCCAGTCTGGGCCACGGCAGACATCAGTAATAGATCACAACCTTCTCTCTTGAAGAGCCCGGAGCTGGGGCCTCCACAGGGCTACTCTGCAAGACATTCAGGCAGCCAGGACCAATCAAAGGATGCTGACCTGCAAGACGCCACCTACTCCCCGCATTTTCCAGAGGAGGTGCCGCGCAGAGGAGTGGGTTAGTCTCCAGTCCCCAGTACACTAGAGGCAGAGCTGGGTGGGAGCCAGCGAGGTGCCTCCCCACGAGGGGTCCGTCCAACGGTGCCCGTCTCATAGGGCATCAGCCGCCCTAGCACACAGTAGGCACCCAGCTCTCTCTCCAGGTTCAATCCCTGTCTCCCAGAGCCAAGCCACAGCCTCAGGGTCAAGGTCTCACAACCCCTGCTCTGACAGCCCCTCGGAACGGAGAGGGCGAGCTTGCCCCAGTGCTGATTTCTATCATCCTCTCAGCAGGTTAGCAAGGGCTTAGAGTAATCTGCAGGCTGGCGCCAGGAGGCCTCCATTAGGCTTTATGGGATAATCCTGGTTGTATCGAAGACTCTTCCCCTAACTTGGGAGAAAAGAAAAATTGACATGCTCAGAAACGGGAGGGAGAGAACCCCCGAAGAAGTCGTCATCGTTATGCTGCGATTTTTAATCCTCCGTGACAGCTGGAGATGGCAGCCAGATGTGGGGCCGAGTGTTCCCCTGACAGAAAGCCAGCGCTGGGAGGCGGTTGGGCAGGGGGAGCCCCCCCGACATCGCACCATCCCCCACCCCCATGCTACAAATGCGGCATCCCAGAGCCGAGGAGTGACAAATCCAGGGACACCCACCGAGCCCCCCACCCCATGTCCCCAGGTCCGGGACTCGTGACACGCGGGCCAGGGCTTTCGCTACCACATTCTGCCGCCTCCCAACCGGGTCAGCCGCAGCCGCACCGGTGACCAAGAGATGACACCAGCAGGTTTGCCCCTGCGGGTCTGGCTCTAGGGCTCCCCTGGGCTGGCGCTAGGAGCTCTGTCTCCCCCTTGTGGTCAGATCACAGATTATGCCCAGAATGACGCTGTCCATCGTCTGCTGGAGGTGGGCAGCCAGGAGCTGGAAGGACACGCTGACCACCCAACCCTGCAACACGAGTCACCGTCAGTTTCCTCATGAAAGTCTCTTAGTCCAGGTTTCACCCCCTTAATAGTAACAGAACAGACCTCAAACACCATTATGGGCTGAATTGTGTCCCTACCAAAATTCACGTGTGTGTGTGTGTGTGTGTGTGTGTGCATGCGTGCGTGCGCGGGTGCTTAGTCGTGTCTGACTCTTTGGCAGTCCCGTGGACTGTAGCCCGTCAGGTTCCTCTGTCCATGGAATTCTCCAGGCAAGAATACGGGAGGGGGTGCCATTTCCTACTCCAGGGAGTGTTCCCAAGCTGTATCTCTTGCGTCTCCTGCACTGGCTGGCAGATTCTTTGCCATTGCACCACAAGAAAAACTCCCATAGTGAAGCCCTAGCCCCTAGTAATTCAGAAAGTGACTGCATCTGGAGATAGTATCTGTACAGAGGTGACTAAGCTAAATGAGGTCATTAGGATGGGCCCTAATCCAATCTGACTAGTGTTCTTATAAGAAGAGGATTAGGGCAGAGACATACAGACACAGGGGGAAGACAGCCACCTGCAAGCCAAAGAGGCCTGGGGAGAAACCAGATTTGTGCGTGCTAAGTCACTCAGTCGTGTCCGACTCTTTGCAGCCCTATGGACTGCAGCCTGCCTGGCTCCTCTGTCCGTGGAATTCTCCAGGCAAGAATACTGGAGTGGGTTGCTATGCCCTCCTCCAGGGGATCTTCCCAACCCAGAGATCAAACCCAGGTCTCCTGCAATGGAGGCAGATTCTTTACCACTAGCACCAACTGCGAAGCCCAGAATCAAGCTTGCTGACACCTTAATATCAGACTCTCAGCCTCCAGAACTGTGAGGTAATTCATTTCCACTGTTTAGGCCTCCCAGCCTGAGGTCCCTTGTGACAGCAGTGCTAGGAAACAAAACCACACTCCCATCCTTCTTTCTCCTCTGGCCCCCAAAAAATCCCCCTACCCAAGTATCTCTCCTTCTTCATCTCTGAAGATAAACCCTTGGCTATTCGTTCTACAAATGTTTCCAGAGCATGACAACGAACTAGTTCCGGGAAAGAGAGAAATGAATAAGAACTTTAATTCATTCAATAAATATTAGCTGAGCACCTCTTAAGTACCTTACAGGTTCTGTTCCAGGCATTTGAATATGATCATACACAAGAAAGAAATGATCCCGCATTCGATATATAGGCAGTCTGGTCGGGGAAACTGTCAAGCAAACATCTAACACATCTTCCACCAAGTTCTGGGCACAAGTACTATACGGAGTTTGACTGGGAGCCAGCTGCTCAGAGGAGGCAATAACAAACTCCCAGGAGAGTGGAAAGGAAAGGGCCCGAGAGTCATGAGTGAGAGGTGATGCTCATGCTGAACCTTGAAGGATGTGGAGGGATTCTCTCTCCTTCTTACTCTCCAGACCAGTGTTATCCTCTAGCAGTGCTCAGCAGATATTTGTTGGCTGCACGGGCAAAGAAATTAAAAGCACACAAGTCTAGATGGATGGAGGGAAGGGAGGACAGAGGCAAGTGGCAGAAAGAAGGCAAAGACAAGACACCTGCCCCAGAGCTGCTAGCCCTCCCCAGGCTAACATCTGTTCTGATCTGAAAGTTAATTATGGTATTTGGATGTTTTATTTTCCATCCTGCTTAATAATTACAATAGAACCCAAAGTGTGAGAAAACGCTGCATCATTATAAAATGAGATTGAATGGGCTCATGAGAATGAATGGGCTCAGAGAAAACACATGTTTTCACGTAGCCATTTGGGCAATCTGGTCTCTCCCTCCCAATTCCTCCAGTCCCTCGGAGGCAGGGTGCAAAAGGGGTGGAGATGGCAGCTTCTCCCTCATATGGGTGTGTGCCTGCAGAAACACAGCTGCACGGGGTCATAAGTCCATGAAAGCGGTCTGGCTGTTCCTCCGGGGGTGGGAGCATTCCCAGCAGTCAGGACTGTGGGTTTATTCGTTCAGCGGAGATTTGTGGAGTGCCTACTGTGTGCCAGGTATCGAGCATCCTAGGCCTCAAGGTCAAGTTTCACACCAAAGCAGGTTCAGGGAAGAGCAAGTGCAGAGATCCCAGAGAGGGAGGGACAGACAGCAAGACGGGGTGGAAGGAGTGAGGATGACGTGGATGTGCTGAGGTGGGAACACGCTGCAAAGGAGTCATAGATCAGAGTCAGGAATTGGGTTTCATTTTTAAGGACAAAGGGAAACTATTGGAGGGTTTTAAGGGGTGGGCAGGGTCATAAACTATTTTTGATTCTTTAAAATTTATTTTATTGGAGATCTGGGTTCGACCCCTGGGTTGAGAAGATCCCCTGGAGGAGGGTATGGCAACCCACTCCAGTGTTCTTGCCTGGAGAAACCCCATGGACAGAGGAGCCTGGCGGGCTACAGTCCACGGGGTCGCAAAGAGTTGGACATGACTGAGCAACTTAGCACAGCACATAGTTGATTTACAATGTTGTGTTAATTTCAACTGTACAGCAAAGTGAACCAGCCGTACGTATGCACTCTGTTTTGGATTTCCTTCCCATGTCGGCCACCACACTGAGTATACAGTAGGGCCTCATTAGTCATCTATTTTACACATAGAAGTGCATATATGTCAACCCCAACCTCCCAGTTCATCCCCACCCCCCTTAGTATCCATACATTCGTTCTCTATGTCTGTGTCTCTATTTCTGCTTTGCAAATAGTTTCATCTGTATCATCTTTCTAGATGCCACATCCATGCATTAATATACGGTATTTGTTTTTCTCTTCCTGGCTTACTTCATTCTGTATGACAGACTCTAGATCCATCCACATCTCTGCAAATAGCACATTTATGTTGCTTTTTATGGCTGAGTAACTTTCCATTGTATATATATGTGCAGCAGAGAAGTCTTGTAGATCAGAGTAAGGAACTGGATTTCATTTTAAGGGCAACAGAAAACTATTTTTGATATTTTTAAAATCTATTTTATTGAAGTATACCTGATTTACAATGTTGTGTTAATTTCTTCTCTACAGCAGAGTGACTCAGTTATACACATGTATATATACATATATATACATTCTTTTTCATACTCTTTTCTATTATGGTTTATCATAGGATATTGAATGTAGTTCCCTGTGTGATACAGTAGGACCTTGTTGTTTATTCCATATATATTAATAATAGTTTGCATATTATTTTGCTTCCCTGATAGCTCAGCAGTAAAGAATCTGCCTACCAATGCAGGAGACACTGCATTGGGTTGGGAAGATCCCCTGGAGAAGGAAATGGCAACAGATTCCAGTATTCTTGCTTGGGAAATCCCATGGACAGAGGACCCTGGCGGGCTACAGTCTATGAGGCTGCAAAAGAGTAGGCTATGACTTGGCGACTAAACCACAACAGTCTTATTTTTTATTATAAAATATCACTCTGGTTAGTGTGTAGGATTGTGGGACTGTTTGAATCTGGGGAACAGTGAGGGGTCCTCTGTAGCCAAAACGCCATGGATACAACAGTGTCTATCCTGCACCCCAAAATGCCTCCTTGTCTCTTGATGCCCCCCAATCACATCTCATTTTGTACAACGCTCTGCAGCTAAGAAGGTCCTTCCACCCGATAACAACATTGGATTGTAACCCTCATAACAAATGCACGAGAGAATACTGTCATCCTCACTTTTCGGAGGAGGAAACTGGGGCTCAGAGAGGTTGAGTGACATGTCTAAGCTCACACAGCTAGTTAGTGGCAGAGCCAGAAAATGGAAGAATATCGCTCCCTGATGGAAAAAAATGGCACACACACACACACACACACACACACAGGGCCTTGAGAGTGTGACATCGAAACCCACAATGCCTAGTGGCAAGTTTTTTGGACAAAAGTCCAGGATTTTTACAGCCTGATGTCCTTCTTGCCCACATCCTTCAAAGAAGTCCCCAGCGTGACTGACCACTCAGTCCAACAAGGCCCTTGGTATTCAGGGCGTTTCCAGGGCCGGTGTGGAGGGGCAGATGGGCACCGGCTTTGGAGCCACAGATCCTCAAATGGGATTCCAACCCAGCGGCTTCCGGAGTGGGCCACTTAGACCCTCAACCCTCACTTAGTCTCCTCAACCACACGTGGGATTAACCCAGCTTTAGCGTGGCTGCAGGGCCTGGGGCGCTTTCTCTGGCGGGAATCTTTCTCTTTGGGGCTAGTATTCTGAAACGTCTCAAGGTTCCTGGGGGTGGCGGGACACTGGGTGCGCACGGTGGGGACACTCGGAAGCCTGAAACCTCTGCTCCTCTGCTCCTCTCGCCGGCCTGCGGATCCCACAGTTCTAGCCTGGCCTCGGCCCGGGCAACACCGCCACCTAGTGGTGACTCTCGCCTCTCCAGGATGCGGCTGCGTTTTGGGGAATCGCCCGGGCCGATTCCATGGACAGGAGTCTGAGCAAGCTCCGGGAGTTGGTGATGGACAGGGAAGCCTGGCCTGGTGCAGTCCATGGGGTCGCAAAGAGTTGAACGCTACTGAGCGACTGAACTGAACTGGGCAGATTCGGACTCAGCAGGTCGGGGCTGGGGCCTGAGACTCTGCATTTCTAAGGCGCTCCCAGGAGAGGCTCCTACTGGTGATCCTCGGACCCCACTCTGAGTGGCAGGGGAAATGGCATTCCTGAGCGGTGCCTAGCAGCGGGAAAACGTGGGAGCCCATCCAGGAGGCTTGGAGGTTGTCAGCGGCCTCAGAGGGCACAGCCTATGGGTGATCTAAACAGAAGAAATGGACTTGGACTGAGTAGTACCCCCACAGTGCCCACAGGGAGAGAGTGCCCACAAGCGCCAGAGACAGGGACAGGTGCTGGGGATGCAAAAAGAAGAGCTTAGTCTGCACCGTCGCTGGCGTGGGAAAGCTTATTTCTTCACACTCTTAGAACAGGGACTATTTCCAGAAGGTCCAGCAGGGGGCAGGAGAAGGACAATATCGCAGAAAGGGCACAA